ATTCCCCGTTGCCAAAGCCACAATCCAAGAAACACCACGAGAGAGAGACGGCAGAGAAACGAGGTCCACCCCCTTTCTCAACCGTCGTCCACCTTCATCCACAACCACCACTGTACAGCCTTCCTTTCGTGTTCACTCCCCAGTCCCAGAAGCTCGCTCAGATTGCTCTCTTCTGATTTGTCCAAAATGAAATAAGCTGGTCAGTCCAAGGGAAAAGACAACAGGAAAACCGGGCCCCCTGGCAAGCCTATCTTAGCAGGGGACCAGGGACCAGACGGCGTGTGCCCTCCTCGCACCTCCCGGTCCAGCTCGCTCCTCTTCTCATCTCCAGAAGCAGGAGACCCAAAGTGAGATGCTCCACTCCCGTCATGGCCGGGCAGAGGCACCGCTAAACTATTCGTACGGCGAACCGTCCGTTACCCTGCTGCAAGGCGAGGTAGCACACGCCTAGTGTACACGCCTGGTGCTGGCAGCGGTTCATCCACACTTCACACTAAGGACTAAGGTAGTCCACCACCACCCCCAACCCAGTCCCAGTCCCCATGTTGCGTTGCGTTCATGTCTGTATATAAGTCCATTTCCTCCAGACCGTCCCAACTGCTGTCCTCTTTCCCTCCTCACCCACACTCACTTACCAATACCGACCCAGACTTTTTAGTCGCTTTCATTCGTTAACCAACGCCCTAATCCTCAACCACTCCGCTACTACAACTCTTCGAGTTTTAATTCCAACCAACCTCCCCCCCAAACCGTCAAAATGAAGTTCTCCGCTGCTGTCCTTGCCTTCGCCGCCGGCGCCATGGCCAACAAGAACATCACCTACGTCACCGAGGTCGTCTCTGCCTACACCACCTACTGCCCGGCTGCCACCGTCATCACCCACGGTGACAAGACCTACACCGTCACCTCGGTACGTTCACGATTCTGGAGGATGGGCCGGGCCTCAACGGGAGTTTCCTGAGAGACGCGGGGATGATCAGCAAGAGCACGCTCAGCGCCGATCACCGCGAATCTCTGCCATCTCTCCCAGGGCCTCGCTCAGCCTCATCTTCAGCATACGCAACAACATTCAGCTAACATACCTTCACAGGCCACCACCCTGACCATCACTGACTGCCCCTGCACTGTCACCAAGCCGGTCATCACCTCCTCCATCGTCAAGTGCGAGACCTGCACCGCTCCCACCAAGAACGCCACCATCCCCATCGCCACCCCCGCCGTCTCCAAGACCGCCCCTGCTACTGGCGCCATCACCCCCACCAAGCCCGTCTCCGTCCCTACCGCCGGTGCTGGCAAGGCCGCTGCCCTCTCCGGTGCCGGTCTGGCCGGTGTCCTCGGTCTCGCTGCCTTTGTCCTCTAAATCAACCACGGTCACGCCTCGCCATCCACGTCTCCCCCTACGCAAGTACGATAATATCTTAATTCGTGGGAGCCTACGACATCTAATGACTGGAGAGCGGTTGTGAACCTTCCATCAGCTTGGATGGTTGTGTTTGTTTTCTAAGGGACGAAAGGGAGAGGAGTTTCGGGAATAGAGAGAACTTTGGGGAGTCAAAAGAGGAGCGAGAAGGAACGTCACTCTACGCGACCACGGAAAATACCCGGTACATTTATCACGGCAGCTACGACTTGCGCGCTTGGAAAGACTACTTTTTTCTCTGGCCAGGCTTGGTCGTAGCAGTCCTGTCAATACTGCCAACTTCTTGTACTTGCTTACCACCAACACAAACGGTTTTGTCTCGGGTTGTTTGAAGAGGCTCCGTTTTCCACACAAATCAACGCGCCCACTGAGGATTATCACCAAATGTGTGCGGTCTATACCACCAAAAAGGCTTTTTTTCGGGAGGCTTAATGGGAATATAATGCGATTCACGATAGGTCATCTGTTGTCCACTGTCTTCCCCTTCGCAGCAGATTGTCTGTTGACAAAGTCTAAATCTACTATATTCTTCTCTCGAAGCGCTTCCCCACCATATTCGCCAGCCGTCCGCCAACATTAATATCTCCATTCGTGTACAATTTTTGATCATGTCGATATCTTGTATTGAGTGGGCGAGCATGGAAAACCCCGAGTTCTCTTCAGCAGAAAATGGGTGGATGTTTTATGGTCTTTTGTCAATTCTCACAGTGTCTCTAAGTGCGCCCAATAGAACATTGCTGAGAGACCAGTTTTGGTCCGCCCACGTAAACCTTTTTTCTCCCAGCAGGTGAACCACGGGCGTCCCACGATTGCCAACGACCCTTCCCAAGTTGACAGCGTTCCAGAATGCCACAATCAGATCGCGGAATTTCTATACTTGGATTATGTGGAGTTGATCTGACTCTTCGTGAAGCTAGCAGTTACGAGGTGACGTCAAGCTGTGCTTCGTCGTCAACGATCGAGAACTGACTCCGCGGGCATAACATTCATAGCGCAATCACGACCCCCATTCCAAAGCCAAGACGGAAAACATCTGCAGCCCCTCAACGGACAAAAAAATCTGACTCGAACTTTTTGGAGTCTAGTGATGCCGCAAAGACCAAAACAAAAGCGCCTCGCCCGATTGACTCCAAGAAACAACGTTTCTCGATTTAGATGCAAGGTCTTCCTCCCCTTTTTCTCGAAGCCGTGCAGAGACATCGAAGCGGCGCGGAATGGAATGGCGGTTTGAGACGCGGACGCCACACAACGTGCGTGCCGTGCCGGCTCGGATCTCAACACGCGCGGACGGACCATGGCCATCGTCGACCGTCGAGACTCAAAAATACCACACAACGCAAGGGAAGACGCTCTAGCCTGAGCGCAACCCCTCCGTGCCCTCCTCAGGTATGTCTGCGAACTCTGAACAGAAAACAAGAGAGTGTTGCGTATGGGGGGTGGTTCCGTCTTGGCGCTTCTCGAAGGGGAGCAGCGGGCGTTCTCGTTCCTTTCTTCCCTTTCCCATCCAACAGCGCAGCAGCACTCAGCCGACCTGCACGAGGACGGAGGCGGGCAGGCTAGAGGGAGACGGCGAAGCTGATGAGGCGCGTTGAGGCCGAGAGCTGAACGGCTCAAAGCTGCAGCCGCCGCCTGGCCTCCCTCCCCGGAGTGATTGACCGCCTCGTTGTCGTTGCAGTGCAGTGCAGTCCCTCCCCCTTGGATAAGGTTGTTTGGTCTGCTCAATCTCGTCCATCCCTATCGGGCGGTTTTCTTTCCAGGGGACGTCGGGACCACCCAGGCGCCGCCACTGTGCCGTACCTGCATTTTGCAGCGCTGGGCGGTGGATTGGGGAGGTCGGACTGAACGGGACGTCGGAAGATGGATGGGTGGAACCTGCTGCATTTCGCGGTGGAGAGCACTCAGCAAGTGGATGGATATCCTCAGATCCTGGGCCAGCAACAACCTGGACCTTGACAAGCCAGGCAGCTGGAGCGCCAGAACAATGCTGTCAGAACAAGAGGCGCAATTGCAGAAGAGAACCCGAGACGAGACAATGAGATTGCATTTCTCGCGAACAAGTGCTAAAAGCACGCCTCTCCTGAGTCTTTGGCAATTCCATGGATGTCAAGTCTCCCTTGGGGGCCCTTGGAGAACGAGGCCTTTTTTTTCAACCCCCGTCACTCGTTTCTTGGCCCCCCATGCCCGTTCCCACAAGGCCAGCAACACCCCGCAGCAAAGCGAGATTAGCAACTTGTCCAGGCCTCGTCACGCCGATCTTCATTAATTTGGATTCACGAAAAGAGGTGCATGAAACAATACGCGGTTTGCTTTAGTCGGCGGGGGGTTGGGTTGTGAACAAAAAGTGGAATAATTGCTAAGAAGAGCTGGGCAGGTTTGTCAAATCGGTATTGGTTGCATCCGGGCGTGGTCGTGTTTTTCGGGGGGGGTTTTTTTTTTTTTGGGGTTTTTTTCCTCTCTCTGTTTTATCTGGCAATGGCTTCCTTCTTCGGGGACCATGAGGGAAAGGAGCCTTCTGGACATAGCCTGACTTGAAACGATGCCACCGTTAAAGTCTAACGTTGCCCAAGATGCCCTTGCCTGCTCCCTTGCCTCTGCCATCAGGCGGCTTCTTTTCTTCTGTGCTTGTCTCGGCCTCGTCGTGGGTTCAGCCTCCTGGTTTATTCTCTGACGAGAGAATCTCTGACGAGGTCAACGAAGAAGCAAGTTGTGTCTTGCGCTACGGTTGCAAGTGGCCAAGCCATCGAAAGCATTGGTAGGATGGATCTATCTGCTGCAATCAATTCGATGAGAATAGCTCGGTGAGCCGAGTAGAATCTACGGGAAGGATGGGTCTCGCGGGGAGTCCCAGTGGGGTCTTTTCGCGGACTTTAATCGCTGATGGGGTAAAGTCGGCGATTTTTCGTCTTTGAAGGACGGTATTGCCGTCAGGAAACCGTTGAAGATTGGCCTGGTCAACTAACTCCCAGTAGCCGTCTGACTTCCATGTTTCCGAAATGGTAGTCGGAACTCTCCTTCAAAGTAGCTGATTGCTCTTGAACCCGTGGACATATTGATAGTCATTCTCAGCGGCTCCAAATTCCAACGTCGCCAGTCTGTCCAAAGCATGCAACTCGTGCATATCCCCAATCCGCTGGTCAACAATTTTTTAACAGCGCCATGGTTAGGTGTGATCGACGCGCATGTAACCCCGTGGGGTTCCCCGGCCGAAGGAAGCCGCCAAGTTCGGTTGGAGACGTCGGTGTGGTCGGCAACGATGGGCGGCGCCCATCTACCCCGGGGCAACGGAATGCGGGGAAGCTGCCTCTCAGCGCCAGCGCATTTACCGTAGAGAGAGCACGTCAGCAACTGTCCACGGTTCATGTCTCTCTTCTCCGTGATACGTCCGTCTCAACCTTTCCCAAACCTCCAGCTGTCCGGGACTCCTCAGAGAGCCGAGGCCAACGTCGTGCTCCCTGCTTCACGCGCTGTGACCAGACACCTTATAGATTGTGTGTGAAGCCCATGCCGTTGTGAATGTGCAAATGCTTTATTCCATGCCTTGGCTTTCTCAATCAACTACACAAGATTCACCGCTTTAAGTATGGATGACAGCTTTCACCCCCAGGATGAGGTCCTGCGGCACTCACTCGAGGATCCTGAGGGCTTCTGGTCTCATCAGGCGGAACATTTGCATTGGCACAAGAAACCCACATCAACGCTAAAGGTCACCAAGAAGAAGCTCAAAAGCGGCGTCACTCACGACTCCTGGGAGTGGTTCCCAGACGGCGAGATCTCGACCTGCTTCAACTGTGTCGACAGACACGTCCACGACGGCAAGGGCGACGCACCGGCCATCTTCTACGACAGCCCGGTCACGGGAACAAAGCAAACGCTCACATACAAGCAACTCCTTGACGAGGTTGAGGTGTTCGCCGGGGCTCTGAGGGAAGAGGGCGTCAAGAAGGGCGACGTTGTTTTGGTGTATAGTAAGACCAGTCTATCACCGGAAGCCGCTTGGAAGTTTCTGTGAATCTGTAAGAGGAGCTGACACGGGTTCCCAGTGCCCATGATTCCCGCCGCCCTCATCGGCATCCTCGCCGTCAGCCGTCTCGGCGCGATCCACGCCGTCGTCTTTGGCGGCTTCGCGCCCAACGCGCTCGCTCAGCGCATAGAAGCCTCGCAGCCCGTGGCCATTCTCACGGCATCGTGCGGCATCGACGGCAACAAGCCGCCGATGAGTTACAAGCCTCTCGTGGAGGAGGCGTGCGCCATTTCCTCCCACAAACCCGATAAAGTCATCGTCTGGCAGCGAGAGCAGATTCGATGGCATCCGATCAAGAGGAACGGCGGCGAGCGAAACTGGCAGAGCATCGTGAAGAGCTGTCGTGCGAGGGGGATCAGGGCAGAGTGCGTGCCGGTCAAGTCGACGGATCCGATATACATCATCCACACGTCCGGGACGACGGGGTCGCCGAAGGGGGTGTTGAGAGATGCTGCCGGTCACGCCGTGGGCCTCCATCTGTCGATCAGTTATCTCTTCAACATCCATGGTCCCGGGTGCGTGTCATTCACGGCTTCTGACATCGGATGGGTGAGACCGCACATTCTTATGACAAGGCGTTGGTATCATTGTTAACGCTTGGCGATACAGGTCGTTGGGCACAGCTACATTGCCTACGCCCCTCTCTTCACCGGCGCGGCGACGGTTCTTTACGAGGGCAAGCCGGTCGGGACGCCAGACGCATCGGCCTTCTGGAGAATAGTAGAGGAGTACAAGGTGAACACCATGTTCACGGCCCCGACAGCGTTGCGCGCCATCAAGCGTGACGACCCCGAGAACAAATTCCTCAGGCAAGTGGGCGAGCGCGGCGGTCTCCGGACCCTCAAGGGTCTCTTCCTCGCCGGAGAGCGGTCTGAGCCGGCCATCATCACCATGTACCAGGAGCTCCTCGAGCAATACGGAGCAGTCGACGCTCACGTTGTTGACAACTGGTGGTCTACCGAAGCAGGCTCCCCGATCACAGGTAGGGCTCTCGTGCCGCATGCGGGGAAAGACAGGAAGACGGACGTCCGGGACCATCCTCCGCCCAAGATCAAGCCCGGCAGTGCTGGAAAAGCGATGCCGGGCTTCGACGTGCGCATCGTGGACGATACCGGCAACGAGGTGCCCAGAGGCACAATGGGAAACATAGTCCTCGGCCTGCCACTCGCGCCGACAGCGTTTAGAACGCTATGGCAGGACGAGGAGCGGTTTTACAAAGGATACCTCAAGCGCTTTGATGGCAAATGGCTGGATACAGGAGATGCGGGCTATATTGACGCCGAGGGCTACGTCAACGTCATGTCCCGGAACGACGATGTGCTGAATGTCAGCGCCCATCGTCTGTCCAGCGGTAAGCTTCACTTTCCCCCAACGTCCACATGTGATCAGAAAGACTGATGAACGCCAGGCGGCCTCGAACAAGCCATCACATCCCACCCCCTCGTAGCCGAGGCCTGTGTTGTCGGTATCCCTGACGCCCTTAAAGGCCAGCTCCCCTTCGCCTTCATCACGCTCTCGACGCCCGACCATCCGACTTCGGCAGTGCCCGACAGCAAGCTCGCTGACGAGATCCAGACGCTGGTGCGGTCGCAAGTCGGCGCCATCGCGACACTGGGTGGGCTCATCCAGGGGAAGGGCATGATCCCAAAGACACGCAGCGGCAAGACGTTGCGTCGTGTCCTGAGGGAGCTGTTGGATAACGCGGTCCACGGCGAGTTCGATAAGGAGGTGCAGGTGCCGAGCACTGTTGAGGATGTCGGCGCGGTTGAGGTTGCCAGGGCCAAAGTCAGGGAGTACTGGGAGATCAAGGGGGATGGTCACAAGAGCACAGAGACGAGGGCGAAGCTGTAACTTAGACTACTTGACAGAGCGAGCGTTCTTTGAACTATACAGAGTATGAGATCTTGGCTTTGGTTGCGGGCACGAGTTGCGCGATGACTTGAGGGACAGATGTGAACTGGTTGGCCATGCAGGGTTTGTCAGTCACCCAGACAGGTTGTAGGCAAGACTACGCTCTTCAAACCGCTGTTAACTGATAATTCTGGACTCGCCATGTATTCCGCCCTATTATCAAGCTGGTGATTACACTTCCCTACTTCAAGTTTACTAACTTTGGCGCAATTACGAAAGAAATCATGAACCCACCTGACAGTCCTTCAAATTTTCGATTCCTTTCCTAACCCCTCAACGAATGCCCGCCTGACAAGCAGTGGCTTCGTATGCCGTTCTAAAGCGCCACAGTAACAGATCTCTATGTCACAATTCAACTTCATCGAATCAACACACCATAGGCAGAGATAGACCACATGTCTAGGTACAAGAGTATCGAACTACCACCGATCGACAAACAGCATACACGTAACCATCTATAATATCACATAATCATGCGCTTGCGGCAGCGCGGCTAACACGTCCCGGCCATGCTGTGCGACTTCCCAACATGACGGCACTGCTGAGCTGGCACCGCATGCCCCAGCATCAGACCAGGAGGACATAATTACATGTCGAATCCTGTGTCCCAATTTTTTCCCAACGGGAGTGTCCGGCCAGGGAATCACAAGAGGCTTTTACGCAACGGCTGTCGCGCAAAACCACACAACCCACCGCCACGCCGAGACGGCTCACCCTTAAATCTGCTCTCCTCGTTCGACATGTTTGACAGAGCCCTCGCTCGCCCCCCACGAGCCCTCGACACGCATCCAGTTATTTCTTCCCATTTCCAACTTCGAAATAACGTTACGAGGTGCTGAACCCACCCCAAGATCCCGTGTCCTCGTCCAGCGGATGTCACTTGAGAAGAAAATACGGACGGTGCGACATCAGAACCCGTCCGCTACGAGTACCACGCGCCCGCAGCTGCGTGATACAGACCGTAAAGAAAACAACCATTCCTTCACTTGAACCATGGCCTCGTAGTCCGTGTCTCCTCCCCTTGTTCTCCCTCCTGGGATCCCTGGCCGTGTAACCAAGGCCAGTCCGAAAGCACGCTCCCCATTTTCCCTTTCCCCGACAACGAAACGGCTTGCAGCCGGTGCCGCGACAGGAGAGAAAAGAATGACCGACCTGATGCTCGCCCGCCCGCCCGTATCGAGTCGTGCCGTCGTACCATGTTTGGGTCTACGGGTCGTCGAGCCTTTGTGTCACCACACTGATGCTGTCAAGAGGAGCATGTTTCCCGGGCCGGGCAAGATCTCCGCGGTGTTGTGCTGCGCAGAGAATCGGACGGGAATCCTTGCGGTGTAGTTTTCTCTTTGTTCTCGAATGGCAAAGCCGGCAAGGGACAGTGATTGGATGGGCCTGGAACATTGAGAATGCCGAATCTGTAAGGGATAGAAGATGCTAAAGAACGCTCCGTATGCTAGAAAGAGTTTGCCTGCCCATCTTATGCTTGGTATCATAATGTCTCCAGTCCCAAAAATGCCATTTGCGCACGCAAAGTAGCCGTCAAACCCATGTAGAAACCATCATTAAACTTCATGCGCCTCGTATGCAATCGCAATAGTGATCAATCATCGACTGGCCGAACCAGCGGAAGGACCTGTCGAGGACGACTTTCCAAACATGCCGTAGACGCTCTTCTGTCCCTCTCTTGCAACCTTCAGCGGTGCAAACCGTGCTTCCGATAACCGAGTTCCTGCCTTGAGACTCTCGAGCACCCTTTCCGAAGCCGTCAGTACATGTTTGCAGGTATTATGAAGAGATGGCCAGGAGAACATACCAGTCGACTCCAACGTACTTCACTCCACAGCCGCCCACCTTGCGAATCTCCTTCTCCAGCTTGCCACTTGCGAGGCCACCGCCTGCTCCAGCCCCGACTCCTGCCGGCCTCCCCACGATGACGTGCGTAACCTGCCTCCGGCCGAGGTGTATCGACATGCGGGCGCCATTTTCGACCAGCACGCGCTTGAGCTTGTGGTCCGAAATGATGGGATGCGTGCTGCCGTTGACATAGACAGTTACGCCCTCGAACAAGCCACGTCCAGCAGTTGCCTTCTCCTCCTTTTCTTCGTCCTCCCTCCTGCGGGCCCCCATAATGGCATCTTCGTTTGTTGAATCTCCTCTGCCGGCTGATGTCGTCGAAGTAGCGGATCCAGCGTCAGAGATGGACGAGCCGCTCCTCATCAGCCCCGGCCTCGCGAGCATGTCGGCGACGCTCATGGTTGCCCGTGCCTTGACGTTCTTAGGCACAACCATCTTGAGCTTCTCATCGTAGTCTTCGCTCCCGGCGCCGTAGGTATCGCTCATACGGACGCCACCGGAGTGGCCCGCGGCGAACTGCCCAGCGAGTTTGCGGGCTCGGCTGTCCCGCCACCCGAGAGTCGTGCCGGGTGCCGTCTCCGGGCGTTGATGGCCCGTAGCACTGGAATTGTACGGATCGAAGTTGTTACTGAAGCGCGGCTTCGCAGCCGGCGGCAGGGTAGTCTTCTCTGGCGGCGGCATCGTATTGTACGTTGCAGGAGGACTGCCTCTTTGCTTTTTCTTTTTTCTTCTGCCGTGATGCACAAAGGGTCGGGTTGGACGACGTGCAGTTGATATTAGGTAGAGGATAAGAGGTTCATGCACGTCAACACAGCGACTACGACGTCGTCCAAGTCCATGGGTCGGAATGGGAAACGACTGGTCGAAATGACGATTACTTTGAATATTTTTTTTATTAGTGTATCCTCTATTTCCCACCAAACAAAGACAGCCTTCTAAACGCGAGGGACGCGTAGCCGCAACACGGGAGGCACAAAGCGCAGGACCATCAGGGCCAATCCAGGCGCGAGGAAGGCGCGGGGCACGTGACCCTGTTTTGTGTGTTCCTTCCTCCTCCAAAGGAAGGGAAGAGAAGGGAAGCGCCCGGTCCAGGTGCAGCGCAACGAACGAAGGCAGTCCCAGTCCCGGTGAGAGAGAGACACGACCTGACGGTGTGTTTCTCTCCACAGCCTGGGAAGTTGGTGGTAACTTGGTGCCGGTAGTGCCTCTCACCAGGCCCGGGTGTCTTCCTTCAAGTCAGTGTACGACGCACCTACCTTCCCAAGCTCCCAATTCCAACAACGTGAGGCATCTCCGGCTGCGCTGCCCTGCATACTCTTCACAGCTATCTGTACGCAGTACGCCGTACGTATGCGCGCATGTGCGCGTCAAAGTCCCTTGGAACCTTCCGCAAGCTGGAAGCCAAAAGCATGACCGAAACGCTTCGACCGTAGGGGACCTTTCACCTTTCACCTCAGCTTCAACCTCGGAGACTCCTGCAGGTACGGATACACCATCATCAGCCTAATGTAAACACCGGACCGACACGCCCCTCTCCCTAAACAACCATTGTTTCTTCCCACGAGCCCACACTCAACCAATCGACCGACGCACATGCCCACCCGCGCACACCCACGAGCCCACGGAACCGGAACCGGAACTGTCAGTGTGAAGACGGACGTCAGGTCGAGACGCAGTGAGGTGCGAATGCGAAGACACCCCGAAAGAGAGACAGAGAGAGAAAGAGTCCGCCAAGGTCACAATGTTTGCCTTTTTCTCCGGAGGAATACCGGACTTGGGCCTCAGATGTGGCTTCCACAACCCAACAATACCCCCAACAGAAGGCTATTCCTATCTCCTACCACCACCACCACTACCACCACCACTACCACCACCAAGAAACACTCCAGCGACAATACTGAGTACCGAGTACAATGGCGTATGATATCGCCAAAACCAAAAAAAGAGGAAACAGAGTTCCGTCCCTTCGATCGTCGCATTCACCCGTAAACTGCATTCGCACATCGAACCTGGACGAGTTGGGGGTGTCCTCGCTGCGGCAAAAAAAAAACAAAGCCACCCAATCGGTCTCCAATGTCGCCCGCTCTGGCAGCGCATCCCCCACAGACGACGCCAGTCATGCACATCACGCCCTCTCCAACTCCATCGGCCGAAGCTTGCACCTTAAAGAAAAAGCTTACACAGCCGGATTCCCCTGCTTCAGAGAACCACCGAAGCTTCGCCTCTTCCCAAACCCATTCGCCCGTCCGCCCAGAGAGGTGCCAGACGCAAAGCTTGTAGCATCCAAGCTCTCTCATCTCAGGTACACCTAGCTCCGGCCCAACAATTGACTTAGATCCCCAAACCTCTGCCGCGCGGCGACCGCCGGGAAACACCAAACGAAAAGGGTCGTTTCCTCCGCCCCGGACCTGGTCTGCCACATCGTCGGCTCGCTCACTGCTGCACCAACTCGGGGACTCCCATGTCTGCCATCTTCGCCTCTTCCCGGACCAACTTACGCACACACGCATGCACGCCAACTGCACCACCCAATGCAGCCTTCCTTGCCTACGAACCTTTTTTTTCCTTTCTTCCCTCTTCTTCTCCTGCATCAAGACTGCTTTCCCCCTGGGGCGACCCTAGGACACTCGACAGAAACACCGGTGCTCCGTCACATGTATAACACACCCTTAGGTTCTTATCATGCCGTACCAGGAGTTCATGCACGATGCCCGCTGCCCGCCGCACCGCTGCCCACTACTTTGTACCTGCTTTCCGAGACTCCTCTCTCCCCTCCTCCTGCCGCAGTGTTTCGCGGCTACATTCGCTGGGACAGGGCGCGGGAGGTAAAGGATGCTGCCCTGCTGCCCCTGACAGCAACCTCGACGGCGGCATGTGCCATGCCCTGCGACGCCTACATACATCAAACCACCTAACATGCCATTCATTGCAAACTGTGAGAAATGACAAGCGACCAAAGTCCCGGGAAAAAAGAAAGCTGAAATCGACAAAATGCACCGAGGCTTGCATATTCTGCGCGCTTTTGCTGCACAGCAACTAGGCGCCGCGCATTCTTCAACGCTGCACTGCGCGTGCTGGCTGCTACTGCACTG